GAATATATATATGAATATTTATATGAATATTTATATGTACGTAATTATGTAAATATTTGATTTTTTATTGCTACACGAATATTGTACATTTACTGCTTGAAGTGGTTGAGTACCCGATTGCGTGAACCTACACTTTGAAGTGTTAATTACAAAGCAATAGCTTTGGATACCCTTCTTTTTCAACAAGTCACCGCTCATATGAAATTTGACAATATCTTCATATCTATTTATGTTATAGCACAATTTTTTTTAGAATGGACGCGGACTTAAACATTTACATGATAGGGTTTTGAGTACATATTGCTGGTTTTTCGGTTTACGAGTTGCGATAGCAGACAACAAGTATATCTGATGCCTGTCCAAATCAGCCAAATATATTACAGTGTGTACGTGATCTTTTGTCGGATTCCGATTCTAAGCGCAAACATGCTGAGACTACACTGAGCAAGTACAACTACTAGCGATCGAATCCTCGGATATCTTCAAGACACGCCTACCACGCCTGTCTACCGAATATTCGCTTATGTTTGGTCCGTTCCACAGCAGACAAGGCTTGTGTGCAACGCTGAGAAACCTGTTCTCTCATCAATCCCAATGCGCGTGTACAGGCCAGCTGGCGCGTCCAGACGAACACCAAGAAGAGTGGAATGCGTTTAGCACCTTCCTACAGAGGACTGACCTCAAGAAGCTATCTCTACCTCACGAGTTGGATGTGACCGGATGTCCCGATGTACACGCCTGGGGTGCGGAAAAGAGCGCCAAAGTGGCCTGTATTACAATTAAAAAGCGCTTCAATTCTCGCAAGCTGCCGCATATGATTGAAATGATGAACGATGACGGAGACACGCAGCAGTACATCTTTAAGCAGGACGATGATATCACCATGGATGTGGTGGTAGTCAACTTATTCAAGGCTTGTAACGAGGTATGGCTGTTTAAGAGTTTTGAACTTGATTTATGGTGCCTGGGTCTATATATCACAAAAGTTGTTAGCTCCGATTTGATAGTAGTTGTATGGGTGGTACTACCACTACAATAAACCTCTGCAGCTACGCAGGCGAAGTTGGTGATGATGTTCTTTTAGCTCCCCATCAACTTTATACATTTCATAGTGTACCTTCTGGTCGCAACGACGGCTAGGCACTACTATTGCTATACTCCGTGTCATTCCTAGTACATTCGTAGACTGAACGCTATGCCTTTCCCTTACACCGCACCCAGGTCTGGTCCAGTGACAGGGTGAAGCTTCCAATCCGTCTCAAGACGTACAAGGTTGTGGCATGTCCGGACAAGACTGGCTTTGGTGAGATTGTGCCTGGGGACACGATGCTCAATTTCCATGGTTAGTGTAAACATGCTTGTGTGTGTGACATCAGCATTAGTAGAAATCTGGTGACATGCAGTGTATCCCCATTTTATCTCCGCTCGATCGCTTAACTGTAGGGTTCGAAGTAGAGGAGTGTATCGATTGCAAACCTCCTGATTGTCTTGTATCCCTCGTTCTCGTACCTGTGACTATGTATATCAATTTAAATTCGCAAATCCTTTATATAGAAAAATCGATTATGCTTTGGGCATTGACAAGCTGGCGTGGGTGAATTATATCCCCTGTGCATTTGGCTATGGCCTGAATTGACTTTCCAAACCTTAGATTTCAACCTTTCATAAGTACAAATACATGTAGCGAAACATTTCACTACGACATCGGGCATTGACAAACACGCTTGCGTATGATGGATGTACTCGTTACACATAGCTGCCGCTTACTCCGACGCTACATACCCTACATTGCAATCTTTCGCACCCTTAAATATATGCCGCGAACGTCGTCGATAAGGTTGTGAGCATTGGCAAAACTTAATAGCATACCAATGAACCCTCGCACACACACAGCGAAAGACTTCGATAAAGCTTTGGGCATTGACAAACACGCATGGGCACGGTTCACATCGTCTGTCGCTGGGGTCGCTGTGGCCACTGCTTGCTTCGACATATCCGATCGCCATCACAACAACACACTGTTCACGCCTGACGGAGAGATGTGTCTGATTGATCTCAGCGCGTCTCTGGGTCACAAGGTAGGCTGAGGCTATGCGCATATTACTTTATACATAGATAGATACTATCCACAAAAACACTAATCATGTACGATTGGGAGGTGTGTCTGATGGATCTGAGCGTGTCTGGGACATTAGGTAGCGTGAGCAAGTACACATACCACTCTATATACCTTATTCACAATATCACTCTATACCTGCACATTGAAGATATGTATCTGATCGACCGAAGCGCGTTTCTGGGTCACTTGGTAGGCTGCGTGTTGCTGATGGTTAGTCTATCAAAGGTTTTTTCTGTGTTTAACTAGTGCAGATATGGCATCCAGGTTTATGAGCGTGGTCAAGTGATCTTTGCTGTAGTAGACATGTATTGTTTGCAATGAGTGTAATACATTTTATTTAAATTGAGAGTACATTTGATTTAAAATAGAGAGGTGTGGAGTGTTGAGAGGCTCACTCGTGTTTTTATCCTCCACGTTCATTACCCCGTAATACTGCGGTGCAGACTCAGTACCCGCAATGGGGGAGAGGTTGTACTGTTTTATCGAGCGACTCCCATTTCCTCAAGTAAAGTATAATACATAGTGTATATGTATTTACGTATATACCCTAATATTTGACTGCCACCACCGCTCTCCATTCGTAGGCGCCCCTTGACAAGGGTATGGTGATAAACCCAGTTTACCTACCCAACCGACTGCTAGCTCTGCGGGAGTACAGTAATATTCTGGCACAAACGGAGTGGAATCGTAAGATGACAGAATTCGAAGACTTTGAGGAGATTGCTGTGCGTGCATATTACCCCATCTATAACTCTCCGGCGATCAAGGGCATGCTGGCCAACTCGGGCTTCAACATGCTCAAACCTCACAAGTTCGTCGCGTATCTGCACGCGCGGAAGAACGATAGTCAGACCAAGGAGAAGATGCGCAACGATATCGTGAAGGCTATGGATAATAGTGACGGCTTCAACAAATTCGTGGCGGGTATTACCAGTATCATGCCTATCAACTAGAGAGGTACACATGCAGCAAGCGTGAGTTGTAATTTTCACTCCTACCAAGAGGGTACTGGCGTGTACTGTTAAATTAGTCCTCATGCGTTAAGAATGGGCGTTTAGAATGAGTGTTTAGATCTCACCAGTATCTAGTGAATAGTTATGTATAAAGATGCAACGAACGGTAGTTAGGCACAATCTGAGTAAATAATAAATAAAATGTAATCGCAGCCTCAGATTAAAGGCGAATGCCTTGATTTGGATGTTTAACGTAGCAACATTGTCTAGCGGTAAAATCAACCATTGTGTTGCGTACTAATTTTGAGGAGCGAGCCCCCAAATTAGAGACAATACAGCTTCAGCACTAATGTCATCTAATGGCGTAAGAACACACCAATTAATATATAGTTGTGTACGTGCTCAAGAAAAGTTGTACGATTAATCAGGATCAATTGAAATAGATATAATGCAACAGCCGGTATGTCATCGACATATAGGTTGAGTTGGATTCGATCCAACATGTCTCATGGATATGTATTATTGTAGATATCTCATAGTACATTCGAAGCTTACAGGCTGCTTGTTGATGAAGGGGCTTACATCGAGATATCTGCCGGTATCAAAAATGGGACAACAGTGCTAAGTTCGCTTACTCAAAATAAGTAGAAAACCGAATGGACTCGCTTGGCGGTATATTTGGCTTGGTCGAATATCATAGTGTCTTTTTAGGAGGCTATGCGAATATTTTGTGTTGATTGTGCAAACTTTCGCAATATTTACATTAACAAGTTATCGCAGACGCATTTGAAATATACATACCAGGTCATATCTTATGAAAAATACAGCAACAACACCCTGATATATTATTGCCCTTGTCTGGTTTTTGTGATGCACCAGATCCATCACAAGGGTGATGCCCTTTTACTTACAAACTATGCATAGGTACCATTGTTCTGCGATTATGAAAGCTTACATTATAGCACGGTTTGCCACCACGTTCTATATTAACTTGTGCAAGGATGTGTCCATAAGGGAGTCGTACTATCAGTTAAAACTGTGTATAATAGTACACCGTGTATGACTAACTGTATTTGACAAATGCAATATTGTAGATCTTATTTTGATAACAAAAATGAAAATTAGGTGAACAATACCACCCGCAAGCGGATTCAGCTGAGCTCAGTATCTATCTCGTTTGTCGAATTTCAATTATTTCTGTCCTGAATTTGGTTTACCAATCCTTTTTGGGGTTATATTCAATCGAATAAACATGTGTGTTTCCTCAGAGACAACCATAAAGAACAGAGAGCACAGGTCCCAGCCTTCGCCGTTCCCTTCATACATCCCGTAGCCTTCGTCAAAACGACAGAGTAATTGAGATCATCCACAACCTTCTTATTGTAGGAGGCTATGCATAGCCCTCTAAATTGAACAGGCTATACCAAAACCTGTACACGAAACCCTAAAGCTTCTAAACCAATGCATTTAATGTACAGCTGAACAAAACGCCAAAACTTTGAACCAATAATGTTTGTAGATATGCTATGTACTTATAACTGACTGTATGAAATGTGATTCTAGTGAATGTATAACTAGTTTAAAAATAGAATATAGAGATTTTCGGGTTGATGTACAGCAATATTTTGAATATCAAGGATATCACTGGGCTAAAACCCAAACACTTTCCAAACTCACGCTACTAAGTCAGCTATAAAATATTTTAATTGGTTAACAAGAATATAAATATGCCACTGTCCACTTGAAATAAAGAAATATGATTCTCTACTTTCACAACCCAATGTTTTGTATATTGAAGTTCGGCTGGGGGCCTGGGCCCTGGGGCTGGGTGGGGATGGGAGTTGGGACGCTGTCGGCTGACCCTTGAGTCCTTGACGCCCATCACCACTGCTGTGAGGCTGAAGCCCTGAGAGGTGAGGTATGTATGTAAATGCAAAAGGGGTATGTATATAAATGCAAAACGTTAAGTTCCGTGTCTTAAACATCAGCTATTCGTTGGTGTATTTACAATGCATGCTGCTTTTAGGTGTGTAGTCGCCTCCGCCACACGCACGCGAGGATGTGCGCTTACGACTGCGATCTCGAGAGTGTGTCCTGAGGCTTCAGTACCCAGCTCAGGGTCGCTGTTTTCGTCGTTTAGACACGGCTTGTTAGGTGGCAGGTAGGTATATGAAGTATGGCGCGAGAAGAGTAGTATACTTCAACACAATAACATGTGATTTCACTTATGACTATAGTAAAACTTGATCACTACTTATGGTATGAGTGTGATTACCCGTATGAGTCTTGAGATGGTTGATAGGTCTGTTGCATATGTCGAATGTATACACACTCACACTCGCACTCACACCCAGAGACTCGATTGTTAGGATAGGGGCATGTGAGGGTTTACAGACTGCCTGCGTGGTCAGCGTTCTTCTCGTGATCCTAAATAGCCCAATCACGCGAATAACTCGTCTTCTCTGTTTCAACATCGAGTCAGAACGCAAACGCGAACGGATAAATATAGCTGTTGTAGCACTACGCAAGAGCATACGTTTAACGTGTGCACATTTCCGTTAGTATATCACTTCTCAAGTAGCGCACACCGTCTGTGTATGCAACACATACTGGTCTTGCATGAACGTCTTGGGAGCACCATCCCCGCACCTGAGTGAACGCTCTCTCACATTGCAAAAACCTAAACGACTGAATGTACCGCAATCGTCACCTGTGGCTAGTCCAGAGCCCGAGCGTTGTGTGGTGTCCGGCTGATGTACCTAGGCTAAGTGTTTGTGTTGATCCGTGTATATGTAGTGATAGACTACTTCTAATCACATAGCTGATGTTGTCGTATATCGCACACCCTCTCAGGTACGGTTTTATACCGCAAACTCTGCATCGGGTCTATGGTACCGAACGCAGTATGACAAATGCATATGTGTGCGAGTGGCCGTCCTGTGGCCAGACTTGTAGAACCCCTTTTAGCCTGAGGGTACATATGCGTGTACATACAGGGGAACGCCCTTACGCATGCGAGTATCCGGGATGTGGCAAACGATTCACGCAAGGCAGTTCGTTGGCAAACCACATGCGTTTGCATACAGGAGAACTTCCTTATTCTTGCGACTTCCCAGGATGTGATAAAAAGTTGAGAACTCTCAGTAATTGGGTGGCTCATAGACGTGTGCATACTGGGGAACGTCCCTACAAGTGTGGTTTTCCCGGCTGCGACAAAGCTTTCAAACAAAGTACGCATGCCGTGCGTCATCGCGAAACACACGCCGATAATACCAAGCCTAGCACTTGATTGATATAAAGTGAGAGAAGTGCAGCTCAACCACAGCAAGGGCCAAGCCAAAGCGTTTCTAGCTAAGAATTGTGATCACCTCTTTTTGAAGTATAGATAGCCTTTTTGAAGTATAGATAGTCGCCCACGTGGACCTGTTTGTTTGTTTGTTGGTTAGTTGGATTTGTTGTGTGTATGCAGAAACACTACATACGACAGCCGGCGGAGATTGGCAGAGACGTAACATATGCCGGCGAGTACACTCTGTGGGTCGTGGCAGTCGCAGTGTATAAACGCCCCTACCAATGTGCAGCGGTACATCGATAGAAGCGCATGAAGATATACGTCTGGTGTGCCCCATATCAACTCTTATGGGTGTCTGCATCTGCGATCACAATGAGCATCACTTCTCGCTACGGTCACGTGTATCCCTTCTCGTCGTGTTCCTAGAGAGGGTCACGAGGTGACACAAAGGCCGAACATTCCGATTGATGGGTGGTGTAATAGTTGTGGTGCGTAGTGGGCGAGTGGAGACTGTTCGGTACCAGAGCCAACCACCCGAGGCTGTCGTAGGATATGATATGTCGGAGACGCCGAGTACAATACTCAGATTCGGCGGCCAGAGAGCTGAGCTGAGTGCTATAGCTAGATTGGGCAGTGAAGGGGTAAATGCAGCACCCATCAGGATATGCTTACACCGGGCTCTCATCGGTGAGAGTTCACACTCAGTTCACAGTCCATGGTACGGGCAATGAGTACCACTGCAGCACCCACCAGGATATGCTTACAACTATGGGCTCTCATCGGTGAGAGTTCACACTCAGCTCACAGTACATGGTACGTGCAATGAGTGAGCACAATCGTTGCCGACAGTCTGGATTTACAGATTTCGCGCGTGTTTGAATGCAAGCACTCGCTCTGGTCATAATAAATATGTATTGACAATAGGTGTCCAATGTGTGGACGATACGCACCGTCGAGCACGTACTTGTAAAGAATATACAATGAAATAGAAGTTGCTTGCGGATTATACACAGTTTTAAATATACAATGAAATAGAAGTTGCTTGCGGATTATACACAGTTTTAAATACACAAATACCCACTAAAGTCAGGAATGGCAAGATCGTTTAATGCTAAAGTGATAGACATTGCTCAATATCAACGCTGCGCGAAGAGTCCCGCATCACAAGCACATGTGTTTGGAGTGTGGACTGTGTTCTCCCCTCTCCAATACACATAATATGACGTGTCGTAAGCACAGCTCCACTGGGTCCGATGTATTTACAGCCACAGTCACACTACACTACCACCATGATATCGTTCAATGGCTTGCGGTGCAGATCTGGTACAGTGGCGTCCGATCGAGGATAGCCTACGGGCAGCAGCACCAGCACCTTCTCCGACTCAGGACGGCCACAGACAGCACGCAGCTGTGCATGAGTAGATGGAGGGGAAAGGAATAGGTAACTTTCAATTCAGACGGTCATGTACCAAAATGCATCTCTAGAGAGCATATTGTGGAACGTACTATATGTTTAGTCTCAATTAGCTCGATACAGAGGAAAAAATTATGACTATATATATATATATATACATATATACATATATATACATAAATATAAATATATATACATATATATATATATTTATATACATATATGTGTGTGAATGAATAAATTTGTCCACCAGTCAGATCAATACACAGTGGAGAGAGGAAAACATATCCCAGCTTTCCCCCGCATATTTTCAGCAGTAATATTTGGCTACCTTGACACTGGGAAAGGAAATACTAAAACACAAACCCTACAACCTAGCATAGTGATTCGTCACACACAGAGTTTCACATATCGCGCGCACCAATTCTGGCGCAATTGGTTTATCTCAGATAAAAGCTAAACTCAGCACGAGACGGATGTCCGCGCCTCACAATATAAAACAAACCTTAGGGCCAGCGTTCATGGGCGTAGTGGTGACCGAGCACAGACCAGCGTTCTGCACAGCACCGAGTAGGAAGCCAACGCCTATTGACGAACTGATCTCGTGATAGTAGTGGATCTGGATCGCGGATATGAGGTGCGTATTAGGGCTCAAAAAAAATAAACGAGGGCAACCTTGGATTGTCCTATTTACAACTTATGGGACGGGTATACTCGGAGGACAAGTCCGGAACGATGTTGTGGGTAACTAGTGATGGTCTGATCAACGTCGTACTGAAACTTGCAAAACATTGAAACTACATACATCACACTGCGATACCTAAGCCGCACAATTATACTGTACGCCCGAAGGTAAGTGGTGCAAAATAATAATAATACAAACCGCTACTGTCTTGGAGGGTTAAGTAGAGATGAATCAGCCTTGCACGTGTTCACAACTCTTCGTATGGGGGCAGCGTAATACTCATGGGCACATGTACACGGGCTCTGCCTGGCAGCTTCTAAGTGTAGCTACCGGCGCAGATCGTTCTCAGGCTCATTTTCACGGGGTGAAGAATAAACCACTCACACCCGATTCACCCACGCAGCAGACTGTGTTATCAGAACACAATCCCCTAAACCCCTGAGAACACGGACTGTTCGAAATAGAACGACATGTGACAAACAGAACGGCCGGGTATAGATAACGGCAATGGCCTCCAGACCAATGGCTTTCTTTGTATCCCAAACGCACCTTTTTGGACCCATCGGGATTCTTGCTGTGGGCCGACTTGAACACGATGATGATGTAGGGACACTCCTCCAGGTAAGGCTTAGACCACGTGGTGCCGATGTGTGAGAGATCGTCGACCCATTTTTCGCCCATCCGCCTGGCGTAGTTGACCTGGGTGTAGAGTGGCGTGGAGTGGAATGGGCGGTGATGTGAAAATGAGAACACTGGGTATCGATATCACTGTGATCGGATATTGAAAGCTACCTAGAAACCTATATAGTAATCCATGTAGACACCTGCTATTCTACTATAACAAAGCTCATATCCTCTGTGATAGCAGAACGCATGGTTTTTATCTACGCACGAGTTTGTACGTCGCACAGGGTTGATCCGACAGACATACATGAATCAGTCATAGGTGAACATAGAGAACGAACAGTGAACTATGGTACAGCCATGCGGGCTTACACATGCAGATTGCTTGCATGCATCTATCAGTCCTTTGGAGGTCGACTAAGTGTCTGCTGGTTTCATTAGTCTGCTGAGAGCAGTTGTATGTGATTGTTCCGATAGAAGTTCAAGAAGCGAAGCACCTCAACACTCTATCGTTATAAAAGTCACGCGTGTACACTTGTGCGGTTCTCGGCAGAGCGATTGCGCATCAAAAAGTCAACCATCCCACAAGAGAAACACCGTCAGTCTTAGAAGCCGAACTTAAACCCAAGACAACATGTACACCCAAGCACGCACAGACACACACACCTTCTCCTCCGCCTCGATTATCTCCCGGATCTCTCGCTTCTTCTCTGCGCTTCGGACCACAACGTACGTCCAAGGCTCTGTGTGCGCCCCCGAAGGCCCAGTTCCGCCCACACGGATGATGTTATCAATCACTTCCCTTGGGACATCCTCAGTACTAAAGTCACGCACAGATCGACGGTTGTTCATCAGTGTGTAGTGTGCACGTGACCGCTCGACCATCTCTTGCTCAGTGTACCGGATGGGTTGGTAGGGCACATGCTCCTCCGGTTCTTCCGAGTGGTCTGAGGATGTAGGTACATTGTAGGTAGCGTTTAGATAGGTGTGCTATGCGGGACAGTACGGTTTATATGGGGTTGGTATAGAAAGTTTATCCCAGCGTTCCATTGTACGTTTTGCTATCCCGTTGATAGTACCACACACATCATCGGGGCATGACTGATACATACACATCAGTAGTCAGTTTGCGGTTGTGTGTACCCGTTATGTCATCTGCAGTAATTAGATTGTACACGTAGGCAAACGGGAACAAAAGCCATTGATATCTACCATGTAAAAACTGGTGTTCAATGTGTGTATAAATGCAACATACTGCAGATTTTATAGGAAACCCTTTTACAGTCAAGGTAAAGATAGAATAAAAAAAAGTTACACATGGCCATTTAACACTATGAATGCATCTACACTCTGATATATATATATATATATATATATATATATGTGTGTGTGTATTCATGAATATATGTACATATACATATACATGTATATATATATATATATATATATATATATATTATACATCTTATTTGTGTA